CAATAATGATCCTTCTGTATCCCCTCCTAAAGGCAATTACCCATCTTTCTCTGCCTCATTCTCCACTTGTTCCTCCTCCATTAATACAGTGCATCCAGAAAATATTTACAGCGCTTAACTTTTGTTACATTTTGTTATGTTATAGCCTTATTCCAAAATGGATTAAATTCATTTTTCTCCCTCAACATTCTACAAACAATACCCCATAATGACAACGTGAAAGAAGTTTCATTTTGAAATCTTTGCAGTGGGAAATTCATTTGATTGGACATGATTAGGAAAGGCATAAACCTGTCTATATAAGGTCCATGTCAGAGCGCAAAAACCAAGCCATGAAGTCCAAGGAATTGTATGTAGACCTCCGAGACAGGATTGTATCAAGACACAGATCTGGGGAAGGGTACAGAAAAATTTCTGCAGCATTGAAGGTCCCAATGAGCACAGTGGCCTCCATCATCCATAAATGGAAGCAGTTTGGAACCACCAGGAATCTTCCTAGATTGGGCTGCCCGGCTAAAAAGAGTGATCAAAGGAGAAGGGTCTTAGCCAGGGAGGTAACCAAGCACCTGATGGTCACTCTGAAAGAGCTCCAGCGTCTCTCTCTGGGAGAGAGGAGAACCTTCCAGAACAACCATCTCTGCAGCACTCCTCCAATCAGGCCTGTATGGCAGAGTGGCCAGATGGAAACCAATCCTCACTAAAAGGCAAATGGCTGCCAAAAGGCACCTGAGGGACTCTCAGACCATGAGAAACAAAACTCTCTGGTCTGATGAAACAAATATTGAACTCTTTGGCCTGAATGCAAAGCGTCAAGTCTGGAGGAAACCAGGCACCGCTCACCACCTGGCCAATACCATCCCTACAGTGAAGCATGGTGGTGGCAGCATCATGCTGTGGGGATGTTTTTCAGCGGCAGGAACTGGGAGACTAGTCAGGATCAAAGATGAATGCAGCAATGTAGAGACATCCTTGATGAAAACCTGTTCCAGAGCGCTCTGGAACTTAGACTGGGGTAACGATTCATCTTTCAACAGGACAATGACCCCCTAAGCACAAAGCCCACATAACAAAGGAGTGGCTACGGCCTAACTCTATGAATGTCCTGGAGAGGCCCAGCCAGAGTCCAGACTTGAACCCGATTAAACATCTCTGGAGAGATCTGAAAATGGCTGTACACTGCCGCTCCTCATACAACCCGATGGAGCTTGAGAGGTGCTGCAAAGAGGAATGGAAGAAATTGTCCAAAAATAGGTGTGCCAAGCTTGTAGCATCATACTCACAATGACTTGAGGCTGTAATTGGTGCTAAAGGTGCTTCAAAGTATTGAGCAAAGGCTGTGAATACTTTTTTTTTTCACTTATTTTTAATAAATTGCAAAGATTTCAAAACAAATTTCTTTCACGTTGTCATTATGGGGTATTGTTTGTAGAATGTTGAAAGAAATGACTTTAATCCATTTTGGAATGCACTTCTGGATACGTTCTGGATGCACTGTAAGGAGGGGGGAACGTACCCATTAGCAGCTACGGCAGTCAAAATTGACAAGTATTCCAGGAAGATGCTGCTGTACTCACTGATAGAGAATTCCTCTGTCACAAATAGACTGGAACCAGAGCCACATGGCACAAACTGACCCACAGGGAAAAATTGTGTCCAGGTACCTCCTGCCTGAAAAAGGTATTTTGGACCCCTCACATATTAGCCTGCTGCTGTGTATATCAGCACCTTTCCTAGATACTGGTCCAGATCAACAAAGAAGACATGGTGCCAGGAAACACTAGCGTGCCGGTTACCTTAGACCTTGTCTGAGGGGGGGGGGGGGGAATATGGGAGGGGAAAAAAAAAAAAAAAAAAAAGGGAGGGTGGGGAGCAGAAATGCTCAGGAAAGCGCTGAGAGCTGATTGGAGGGAAGGGACTCATCCTCCATCACAGAGGAACAGGGCTGTGGCTGTCAGTCTGCTGGAGGTCTCTCCCATCGCCATTTTTTTTTTCTTGGTGTCAGGAAAACTTGTCGGAAGCAACTCCCGCTAATAGATGAATAAAGCAGCAGACAGAAAAGGCACTATGGCAGCAGGTCTGGGGATTCTTAGCTGCCCCAAGCTACAAGTGATTGAGCAGGAATGCATTGTTAAAGGGTTTCCTAGCAATGGAGACAGAGTCCTTTGAATAGTACATGTTCATAAGAAGTGTGCCACTTAGTGCTTTTAATTAAGTCAAAGTACACACTATAGAGGGATATGCTTTGTTCATATTTCATATCTGAGGTTTACAACCACCTTAAGTTTTCCCATCAAGGTCTGCTGCAAACTCAAGTATCCACTTCTGGGGCATGCTGTCCTCTAACCACTTGTGCTACTGAGCGAACACAATGCCTGCGTAGCAGTAACCATCTGTCCCTCAAGGGTCCACATAGGGGGTTCACAGATGGCCATCACCAGGGCACTCAACCACACCAAATATAAAGACTGAGATTTACCAAAACTGGAGCCCACAGAACCTTGTGCAGATGTGCATGGTAACCAGCTCCTAATTCAGCTTTGCCAATAAAACTCTGGAAGCTGACTGGTCACTATGAACAGCTGCACCAGGTTTAGCGATATCCCCAGTGTGTCCTGTGATGTAAAGATACTTCTATGTGCTGGGTGAAGGTCTGCGTAAGCAGTCAGAAGTGTAGAAACAAGAAAGGCCTTGGAGGTAGGAAAAAGGAAACTGACATCACCCAGCATCAGGAAATCATAGGGGGTTCTGTTGGCACACTTCCTGTAACATGTACTATTTGAAGTGCTCTGCCGCCATCGCTATGAAACCCTTTAACCACTTGCCTACTGGGCACTTATACCCCCTTCCTGCCCAGGCCAATTTTCAGAGCCGTCATACTTTGAATGACAATTGAGCAGTCATGCAACACTGTACTCATAAAATGTTTCTAATTTTTGTGAGACAGATAAGAGTTCTCTTTTGGTGGTATCACCTTGTTTTCTGTTTACTTGAAAGTTATTTGCGGTCAAAACAAGTCAAAAACTGAAAATTAAGGGGGGGGAAAAAAAAAAAAAAAAACAAAAATAACACCCCCGTTCTTGGTATAAGATTTTGTAAATAAGTGATTTTTTCACTGATGTGCGCTAAGGCTGCAGTGATGGGCACTGATAGGTGGCACTAATGAGCATTGACAGGCATCACTGAAAGGCAGCTCAGATGGGCACTATGTGGCACTGATGTGCACTGACAGGTGACACTGCTGGGGCAACACTGATCAGTGTGCACGTCTCCTCTGAGGAATGCCGATTACCAGCTCTCCTCTTGAGCCGTCAGCGTGACCGCTCATGAAGTAATGCTGATAACCAGCATTTCCCCAAGTACATGTGATCAGCTGTGATTGGATACAGCTGATCACATGACAGCCAACCTCTTCGGCTCTGAGGGACACAGTGCACCACGGATCCCACACCAATAGAGTGTGAGGACGTCATGCGATGTCCTCCCTGAATGAGAGAACCGGCTTGCGCCTGTCATTTCCTTATATGCTGGGCGGGAGGCAGTTAATGCAGAACACTCCGCTTTCGGCTGCCAAGAATCACCAGATCTGCTGGCATTCTGCTAGTTGCCAAGGTGAGGACAAGTAGCCATCACCCCCACTCTGAGGCCCTTACAAAAACCTGTATCAGAACACATTTTCTGAGACAATGGTGTGTAATTGTTTAAAATTAAGCATGGCCAAAGCCCTTTTGACCATATTCCTGTGGATCACACGAGTGCACTTCGTTCTACACATCTATGATCCAGCTTCAGCCAACAGCAGGCTAAAGTCAGAGCCTCTGCAGGGATCCCAAGGATACTGGGATTTACCCAAATTCGACTGGCATGCCGAGTTGGAGCCAGATGCTCCCACCCTCTCCACAGCCTGGTGTATCAGTGAGCACTGGAGGGGCAGAGCACAGAGCAGTGACTGAGCAGTCAGACTACCAGTCTCACCAGACTACTGCTCAGTTCTTGGTGACAGTTGTGTAAAGACAGGAGACAGATGCTGTAGTCATCCAGGTGACTACAGCTGCCATCCTTGATCTGCAATTACCATAGTGCTGCCCATGATAAAAGCTATAATGCCCAAGCCACTGTGGCTATTATTCACAGCCTGCCTTGAAATTAACTGGTTTGGAAAACTGTTAAGTAATAATTTAAAAGGAAAAATACAAACCCCCAACACAAACACATGCCACTTTGAGAAAAATGCTAAACTTTGGCCCTTTGCATAGGGTGGCCATCCAACCTGTGTAATCCCAGTGCTTTGGTGTACTCAAGAGGCACAGGATCCAGCCCCGCTGCCTTACAGTCTATGGCAGCATAAAGATTGTATTAAGTGGTATGCTCATTTAGGACCCAAAATTCTGTTGCACATTTTCCTGAACACCCTAGGACCTAAATGCATATACCACTTTTAAAGCCCTTAAATGGCTGGGGTCGTAGCTGATCACATGCAACTGTAGATCTAAACAGACCTTCCTCAGGCAGAAAGCATAGGTGTTGGGACACATCTACTGCCTGACCTGGAAGGGAGGAATCTCAGTTGTCTACTGAACAGGCATCTCCCAAGATGTGAACTGTTCCAGCAATACCAGATTACTACCCCCCTTCCTGTCACAGGAGGGGGTGGGAGGGGAATGAGTTTAACAAGTGTTTGACAGACTAACACTAGAACTACCTTGGAAAGCCCACCCAGATTTACAGCCCCGTATACCAAAACCTTGTTAAACAAGTGAATTAAGAGACCGAAAGCCAATTAAATAAGTTTATTTTCTTGGACCAACATTTGTTACAGTACAGGTAAAGTGCAATGGTGTTCCTTTTTTTTCAGGCAGATGGAGTGGATTCAAGTATTAATGCCCTAAAATAAAACTTTTACAGCAGCTTTTGTGGGAAATTGAACTTGGAACAGCCATCAATACAAATCTGTGTCCTAGGAGCTTAACAAGACAGAACGGAATGCAGTTCCAGTCGAGTATTTAGTCGACCTCTTCAATTGTAGGTCCGGAGGATCCGCCGCTGCTTGGAGCACCACCTGCCCCTGGGAAGCCCCCAGGCATTCCTCCTGGCATGCCACCTGCACTCTGGTACAGCTTGGTAATGATCGGGTTGCATACTTTCTCCAGCTCCTTCTGTTGATGTTCAAACTCATCTTTCTCAGCAGTCTGAAAAGGGAAATAGGTCATAGTAAAAAGGTGAAGTTACTCCATTAACAACTTGTACCCCAATCTGATTTTGAAACATGAGCAGTCTCCCTCAACAGAACTTGCAGTGAAAAAAGAAAAGCTAGCCAGTGTTTTACTGCTGCACCCTGGTTAGGGCTTCGTGACAACTGGTAGCGTTCTAAAAATTAAGGCAGCCCCCCACTAAAGCAAGACCCTCAGTCTCATCTGACCAGATTTCCTGTCAAACCAATATGTGGGCAACACTGTTCAACACTAGCAGTTACTGGAAAGTAGTTGGGACATAGCATGGAAAGGTTATTTGTAGTACATAGTAGCCAACACAGGAGAGGTTTAGCACAATACTTAATAGCTGAGAAGTTATAGAAGTTCCTGAAAGGAGTCACCGATTTCCCCCTAAAAACACATCTACTCTTACATTGGGTTGCAAGGACTTGTCGCTCAGACATCCAAGGAAGGTATTTAGCCATCATGAGCCTTTCGACTCTGGTCTGGTGGAAACTACGAATGGCTTTGGAAACATTCATCATTGCGACACTATGAACTAACTCAGTCTCAAACCATACCTGGTTTTTGTCCAGCCAAGAGATGACTTCATTGCACTTGTCCAAGATTTTCTGTTTGTCCTCATCACTGATCTTGCCCTGGAGCTTCTCATCCTCAACAGTTGCCTTCATGTTGAAAGCATACGACTCCAAGGAGTTTTTGGAGGAGACCTTGTCTCTCTGCTTCTCATCTTCAGCCTTGTACTTCTCGGCTTCCTGTACCATGCGCTCAATGTCCTCTTTGCTCAGACGACCTGCAAACACCAAATTGTTGCTTTTAGAACAGTCTCAAAACGGACGCCATAAAAAACAAAACACAAAAACCACCACACAAATTCCACTGGATAAAGATGAAAGGTTTAATACAGTGCCGCTCAGACATCCAAGGAAGGTATTTAGCCATCATGAGCCTCTCAGCTCTGGTCTGGTGGAAACTACGAATGGCTTTGGAAACATTCATCATAGCGGATAAGTTTCTGTAGCAGTACTGGCACGCCTTACCTTTGTCATTGGTAATGGTGATCTTGTTTTCCTTGCCAGTGCTCTTATCCACTGCAGACACATTAAGGATACCGTTGGCATCAATGTCAAATGTCACCTCAATTTGAGGAACACCACGGGGGGCTGGTGGGATACCAGTCAACTCAAACTTGCCCAGCAAGTTGTTGTCCTTTGTCATGGCTCTCTCACCTTCATATACCTAAAGACACAATAAGAAGTGTTTTGAATAAAGCAAAAAGGCAGTAAGAACTCCAAAAAAGAAAAACATGTCTTGACATGATGCATACCTGAATCAAGACACCAGGCTGGTTGTCCGAGTAGGTTGTGAAGGTCTGTGTCTGCTTTGTGGGAATGGTTGTGTTACGCTTGATCAAGGTAGTCATAACTCCACCGGCAGTCTCGATACCCAGAGACAGAGGGGTGACATCAAGCAGCAGGAGGTCCTGAACATTTTCAGATTTGTCTCCAGACAGGATGGCAGCCTGTACAGCTGTAAAAAAAGCATGCATGTTAGACCAACAAAACTATCTCTGGTGAGTGGAGGTGTATGCAAGGTGGTCGCTCAGACATCCAAGGAAGGTATTTAGCCATCATGAGCCTTTCGACTCTGGTCTGGTGGAAACTACGAATGGCTTTGGAAACATTCATCATAGCGAAATGCACCCCAGATAAGCTAGGATTAAGTGTGCAACTCAAAAAAAAAAAAACCCTCATGCAAAATAGAATTTTAGTGTAGTTTATCTTTTAGGGCCACTTCCATACCTGCACCATAGGCAACAGCCTCATCTGGATTAATGCTCTTGTTCAGTTCCTTGCCATTGAAGAAGTCCTGAAGCAGCTTCTGGATTTTGGGAATACGTGTGGACCCCCCAACCAAGACAATATCATGGATTTGTGATTTGTCAAGCTTGGCATCACGAAGGGCCTTCTCCACTGGATCCAGGGTTCCTCTGAAGAGATCAGCATTGAGTTCTTCAAATCGGGCTCTGGTGATTGAGGTGTAGAAGTCAATTCCTTCATACAGGGAGTCGATTTCAATGCTAGCCTGGGTGCTGGAGGACAGGGTACGCTTTGCACGCTCGCAGGCAGTGCGGAGACGGCGAACAGCTCTCTTGTTGTCAACGATATCTTTCTTGTGCTTTCTCTTGAATTCTGCTACAAAGTGATTTACCATTCTGTTATCAAAGTCTTCCCCACCCAAATGAGTGTCACCAGCTGTTGACTTGACCTCAAAGATGCCATCCTCAATTGTCAGGATGGAGACATCGAAGGTTCCACCACCAAGGTCAAAGATCAGCACGTTCCTCTCTGCTCCAACCTAAAAACAGAACAAAGACTTAATGCAAGCAAAAAAAACGGACCCAACAGTCTATAAAGTATACAGATCATCCCAAGTAGCTTTAACAACCCACCTGGTAACAGCAATGCTGGAGTTACCATTCATAGCCACACTACAAACAACTTTTCCCTAATAAAATAAATTGCAAGGTTTGCTACAAGTTACATTTTAGGCCTCTTGCACATGGCAGCTTTTAAAAAAAACTCAGTACAGCTTTTTTTTTTTTTTTTTACAGATTTAAAATGCAGCCCATTGCTTACATCATGCCTGTACGTGTGCATAAACCAGCGCTGTGCATGCTTTAGAGAAAAAGTAAAATGTGTTCCAGGTCAGCAATTTGTGTCTGCTTACAAATGTGCATAAATACTAGATTTTTGCCTAGGAATATATTTGTACACAAGAGTGCAAAGACCACAAGTGCTTAAAATTACACCCAAAAATGCTGATGCTCAAGCATTACAGTATTGTGTGCAAGAGGCCTTTGTTTTTTGCAGTAGACCCTCATCTATCCCAACACTTAGAAAACCCAATCTGCCCCCCCCCCCCCCCACCCCCCCCCCCCCCCCCCCCCCCCCCCCCCCCCCCCCCCCCCCCCCCCCCCCCCCCCCCCCCCCCCCCCTATCCGATCGCTCAGACATCCAAGGAAGGTATTTAGCCATCATGAGCCTTTCGACTCTGGTCTGGTGGAAACTACGAATGGCTTTGGAAACATTCATCATTGCGATCTGAGTTAACAGTAAAGCTGAACACTACACACCTTTTTGTCCAAACCATATGCAATGGCTGCAGCAGTTGGCTCATTGATTATACGTAGTACATTGAGCCCAGAGATGGTGCCGGCATCCTTTGTGGCCTGGCGCTGGGAGTCGTTAAAATAGGCAGGTACAGTGATCACTGCATTTGTTACAGTCTATAAAAAAAAACAAAACACAAATTGTTACACAGATTTTTTTAACCATATACATATAGTGCACTTCCTCACAATATCCCCCACGTGTCATCCGTGTCTAAAGGTAGGCAGATCAAATCTGTTCCCAGCAGGATTTACAAGAACAGCATCAAGTTACTGTTTGAACTGCATAGATCAGCAATGATCAAACTACGGCCCGGCGGACCTTTTAATCCGGCCCACGGAGCGTGATACATTGGCTGTCAGGATGTGTGTAGGCGGGGCAGCGTGACGAACGTGAAAGGAGCTAGGCTCCTCTCACAGTCCGCCCTGAAGACCGGAACGGCGCGGGAACACGGCAAGAGGAACGCGCGAAGCAAAGTTAAGTAAATTGACACAGGGGGTACGGGGGGAATAGTACTATGGGGGATGAATTAATATGGGGAATGAATTACTATATTTATTTTAGCGAGTTTATATAGCGCCAAAGGGTTTGCTCAGCGCTGTACAATAGAGGGGGGGACATGAAACAGTACAGCAACAACAAACAGCACACAAGGGGTAGGAGGGCCCTACTCTTTTGAGCTTACAATCTAAAAGGGGGATGAATTACTATATGGGGGATGAATTACTATGCTTACTATGGGGGAATATTACTATACTTACTATGGATGACACATACACATCATTCATCTACTCTTGGTCCGGCCCCCGGGTCCAATATATGAACCCATTGCGGCCCTCAAGTCAAAAAGTTTGCCCACCCCTGGCATAGATTGTAGTTGTGCTCAAATTGTACATAATATCAATACAATCCAGCATAATCTCAGGACACCTAGAGACTTCATGGTACCCAATACTACACACAGTTGTCAACCTGCAAGTTTACAAAATTCTATCAGATTTCCTGACATTTACCTTCCCAAGATAAGCTTCTGCAATTTCCTTCATCTTTGTCAAAACCATTGAGGAGACCTCTTCTGGGTAGAATGACTTTGTCTCTCCTTTGTATTCTACTTGGACTTTGGGTCTTCCGCCATCACTAATGACAGTGAAGGGCCAGTGCTTCATGTCACACTGTACAACAGGGTCATCAAATCTGCGGCCAATTAGACGCTTGGCATCTAGAACAAACATTTAAAAAGGTGAATCATGCAAATCAAGGACCTCACAATAGGCAGATTTCAGGTTCAGGAACACTTACACTGTATTTACTGACAAGCTATGAAACATTTAAAAGCAGAATGCCAAGGTTCTGCCCAATGCAGTAAGGCTATGCCCACACTGCATGGGTTAATTGCGTGCTTTGTCCAGGGGCTCAGGGAAAACCTATTCCTGCCATCCTCATGCTTGGATCCAGTCATTGGGCATGACATCAAAACAACCCAATCACAAGACCACTAGCACGTGTGTGTGGGGGAGGTTGGGATGAAGTGGCCAGTACTGGTCTTCTGCTCCGAAGATCAGATTAGGCAAGTATGTCAGGGGGAGAAAAAAAAAAAAAAAAAGCCTGCAGCATTTAACCCATGCAGAACATGCACAGCCACACTGCATGGGAAAATATTTCTGCCTGGATTTCTTCTTTCAATGCTTCTGCAAAAATAAAAAAAAAGTGGGACCGCTATACCATGTTACATTATACACTAAAGAGCCAAAAACAGACAATATTCATGCAAGTTCAGCTTCATAGGCTTTTCAGCATTCCTATTAGGCCATTACAGTCACCTTGCTACAATGGATGACTGTATAATCTATCAATTTCTGTCCTCATTAACAGTCTACATTTCGCACACTTGCTACGATCGACTTACCAAAAACTGTGTTTGTTGGGTTCATGGCAACCTGATTCTTGGCGGCATCCCCAATCAACCTTTCGGTATCTGTGAAAGCCACATAACTGGGTGTGGTTCGGTTGCCCTGATCGTTAGCAATGATTTCCACCTTTCCATGTTGAAACACCCCTACGCAGGAGTAGGTGGTGCCAAGGTCAATGCCGACTGCTGGTCCCTTAGACATGATTGCTGCAAAAAGAAATCAAAGGGTTAGTATTCACAGGACTACCACAGAGAACCATGCAGAACTTCCTATAGCTCAGAGTAAAAACAGTCAGGGCGTTGAGAAAGCCACTCTTTAGAAACGTAATCATGTCAGAAAATAGACCAATTGTTGTAAAAGCTGTGAAACATTGCCTTCGCTGTAACATGTCCTGAGTTCAACCTAGCTTGCAGGCCGTTTTATACTGTGTGTGAACACAAACCTTCAAATTAATTTTACCTAAAAAATCAACCCTCTACAACCTAGAATCTTGCAGGGCTGAACCCAGATCCCTTACCGAGCTATGGGGGGGGGGGGGGGGGTTTCGCGCACAAACATTAAAAATATTACCTAAAATCAACCCTATTAACCCTCTACATCCTGGAATCTAGCATGGCTGAACCCAAATCCCTTACCAAGCTATGGGGGGGGGGGGGGGGGGGGGGTCATGCACAAACCTTCAAAATACTGCCTACAAAGCAACCTTCTTGACCCTCTACATCCTGGAAACCTACCAAGATATGGGGGGGGGGGGGGGGGGGGGTTTGCACAAACACCTTCACATTATTACAACTAAAAAGCAACCTTATTTATAAAGCCCAATAGTTCGCTCATCCCAAAGGAACAGAACTAGCAGGGGCTGAACCCAAATCCCTTAGCAAGCTATTCACAAACATACAGAAGCCCTATAAGCAATTAGTGTCCATCAGATTATAAACTACCCTATAATGCAGGCCGTATAAAGAAAAAAAAATTGCTGTTTTGCCGTCAAAAAAGATCTAGTAAAAGGGTGGGAACTTGTGCGTTTAATATCCAAACCAAAAGGCTTTAATAAAGGCATCCATTATCCAGGTGACATCACAGGGGCCATTTTATGCTGTACGGCCATCTTGCTGTAGCACTACAGCATGTGATCAACTGCACCCAACAAAGAGCAAGACGCTGCAAATCATTACCAGAGCCCTCTAAAAAGGGAGAGTCAGCAGGAAATGAATTCATCAGCAGCCTGATCACCATTCCCACATGTATAGTCAGAGGGAAGCACCATTTATAATCTGTTTCTCCTAGAACAGAACTGCAGGACTGGAGGAAATTCAAAGCATACTGGGACTTGCAGTTCCACTCACTACTCCCCATCCAAGAGCACATAAGCCACGGGTGTCCAACTGGTGGCCCTGCAGCTGTTGAAACTATAAGTCCCATGAGGCATTGCAAGATTGACCGTTAAAAGCATGACTCCCAAAGGCAGAGGCATAATGGGACTTGTAGTTTGGCAACAGCTTGAGGGCCACCAGGTTGGCACCCCTGACAAGCCATCTTCTGCACAATGGCCCTCTACTAGATATTTAGGTTGCTACCACAATGGCAGTACAGTTACTGCAGAATTTGTAGAAGAAAGCCTTCACTCCAGCCAGAAGCCTCCAAAATGTGCAAAGCCAGGGCTGACTACTTTCAGTCTTTGTACAGCTCTGGCTGGGCTTTCCATAGCACCCACAACCAACCTGTGCTTTAACCCCTTCCCACCCCCGGCTGCACTTTAAGCCATTTGGAACACCCAGTAGGTAGAAGGATCAGCGACCACCACTGAAAGCTGGTCCTCTTGGCTACCAATCTTTTGCAGTCTAACAGCTTGGTCTTTGTGCTGGGAGAGCACTTTCATCGGCCACCCAGTGCCACATGTGGGAGTTAAAGCCCACCGCTTTGCTAGATCACACCGGGTGGCTGTACAAGGGATCAGCTGGCCAAACACTAAAGAACATTGCATCCTTAGACTTGATCATATTACTGAGGACAAACCATTTAATTCGCAGCAGACAGGCCCTGGCATTACATAGCTGTACAATCACATCTACCATGTGATTGCACAGTGTATGGAGCATGTGAAGGTAGGAATCCTAGCCTTCAATTGGCCAATCAAGTCCACCCTGCTGTAGAACTACAAGTCTTAACAAAAAACAAAAAGGCAAATTTATGTTGTAGTGCTGCACAATAAAATCACTTCATTCAAAGCAAATAATGAAAATAAAAAAACATTAACAAAAATAGAGCAACCACCCACAAAACCTTCCACCAGCTGCCATGCTGAGCTTTGTAGTCCCCCCAAGACCAGGTCCACCCCCAACACAAGTATTAGTTTGGAAAGCTGAGCACTCCAGGATTAGGACAATCAAAAAGTGAGTTTTAGTGAATGGCCAATCATATTTGAAGGTTCCAGTCACATGAGAAAAATAAAAAAGATACTGTGTTAAAGTTAACATAGGCCAATCAGATGTGACGGTTCCAGTCACATGACTAAAAACAGACCCCAATTCTTTGTGTCAATGTGCATATTATAGCCAACCAGATTTGAAGGTTAGGGTCACATGACTAAAAATATTGATCCATTCTTTGAATCTATAAAAAGGTGGTCAGGATCACCATGGCAACGATAGGCCAACGAGAGTATCTCGAGCCCCGTCCCAGGTCACATGATCAGCTGCTCTCACAACTTATGAGGAGGCCGAGTTATGAAGATTAATAATCATTTATCATTAGCCAATCATAGATAGCACCTCCCCCCCCGCCGACTAGAGAACTAGAAGTCGCAGAACACCGACGGCGATCAACGATCCAACCTCCCCTACCACTCTAGTGCCCATCCCCGGCCGCCATCCCTCGCTCACCTGCACTGCAGTGTATTGTGTGGCCCTGGTATAGAAGCTGCTCGCCGTCTCCGAGCCGCTAGTCCTGGTGAAATGAGGAGGTGTAATAGGACCGGCGCCTTCTTATACAACCCCAGAAGCTTCCAGAAGAAAGTGACGTCAGTCCCCGCCCTACCGGGCAAAACGGCCAATGGCGGAGCCACCCGGCTGACACATGACCGAACGCGTCACACGATTCTGGAACCTTCCAACGTCCGCAGAGTAGCGCCCCGCCTTCGCTGTGAGGAACCGCGGCCGCCATCTTGTAAGGGCCATTCATTCACGTGTGTTCTCATTGTTGGCAGAGACAGTTTTTTATCAAAGGTCTCCTGACGGCGGTGAGCGAATGGCGTCCTTCGAGCGTTAATTATTGCGCTCAATGCCCGGAGACTGCTGTGACACTTTTGTTAATGATAACGTGTTATAGGCGGTACTGGAGGTGTCGGGAAAGCACCGATCACCGTGAGAATATACAATCCTACATCGAATGGCCCGTACACGGTGACCTATGAAAAAGAACGTCGTCGAAACGAAATTTTGCCCTCAAGTAAAATGGCGAATGGACACGTGCGCTGCGGGCTGTTGCTTGAACCCGATAGACTGCTGAGGTCACGTGTTGATCAGCGCGGGAACCGGCGGCCAATCACAGAGCTAGCACTTCGGATAGCTCTCTAGTTGCCAGGCAGATTTGCTCCCACTGCTTCCGGCGTTCCTGTCTGAGGTGATTTAGGAAGTTACGCGGATTCTGGTATTCCTGAGAATAGAAACCATTCCACCCACAAAGAGAGTGAGAGCCCATCATGTGATTAGTGTACAGTCTGTATATATTATAGGGGTAGATAAAGTCTTCAGAATATAGGGAGAAGACTAGAGCTAGTTCAATGGGCAAAAACACCCAAAGTATTATTAAAGATATATATATAAAGCATTTGGTGGAGGTGTCAATTCACCAAAGATTATAGCATGCAAGATGTTTTTTTTTTAGATGTTTTGGAAACATCACATGCAATTATAAAGTCAAATTATCAAAATAAAATGAAATTTGAGGGTAATTCTGCAAATGTGCTAAACATGTCAGATGCCACAAATTCATAAACAAGGAAAGGAAAATACTGCAAATTCATTACAAATGTGAGGTAAATACCACAAATTAATTAAAATGTGAGGTAAATGCCGCAAATAGACTCAACATGTGAGGTAAATGCCACAAATAGATTCAAAATGTGAGGTGAATGCTGCAAATAGATTCAAAATGTGAGGTGAATGCTGCAAATAGATTCAAAATGTGAGGTGAATGTCGCAAATAGATTCAAAATGTGAGGTAAATGCCGCAAATAGATTCAAAATGTGAGGTAAATGCCGCAAATAGATTCAAAATGTAAAAGGTGAATGCCGCAAATAGATTCAAAATGTAAAAGGTGAATGCCGCATATAGATTCAAAATGTAAAAGGTGAATGCCGCATATAGATGTAAAAGGTGAATGCCGCATATAGATGTAAAAGGTGAATGCCGCATATAGATTGAAAATGTAAAAGGTGAATGCCACCAATTCACTAAAACTGTGATGTAAATACTGCAGTCAATAAAAACGTAAGGTAAATACCACAAATTAAAAACACAAGGTAAATTTAGGAAATAAATTATATGGGTGGAAAAAATACTGCATATTTATTAAAAATGTGAGGAAAATACTGCAAAATTATTAAAAATGTGAGGTAAATTTTGCAAGTTCGTTAAAATTGTGAGCTAAAAACTGCAAAGTCATTCAAATTGTGAGGTAGATGCCACAAATTCATTGAAAGTGTGAGGCAAATACTGCAAATTCATTAAAAATGTGAGGTTAATTTAGGAAATAAATTAGAAATGTGAGGTATATACTGAAAATTTATTCAAAATTGGTAAATGCGAGGTAAAGTTAGGAAATAAATATAAATGAGGAGCAAATACTGCAAATGTATTTTATTATTTTAGGTACTTATATAGCGCTGTCAATGTACGTAGCGCTTTTAATATATATTGTAAATTCACATCAGTCCCTAACCCTCAAGGGGTGTACAATCTAAGGTCCCTAACTCACATTCATACATACACATACTAGGGCCAATTTAGACAGGAGCCAATAAACCTACCAGCATGTCTTTGGAGTGTGGGAAGAAACTGGAGTACCTGGAGGAAACACACAGGCACAGAGAGAACATGGAAACTCCAGGCAGGGGGTGCTGTGATTGGGATTCAAACCAACAGCCCTAGTGCTGCCAGGCGGAAGTGCTAACCATTTAACCACTAGACTGCAATTTATT